AGATCCTCAGCAACGAATCCACCCTCTGGGACCGCTACAACACCCGCGGCCAAAACGTAATGCTCCCCGAAGTCCAATTCGACGAATTCCGTGTCGGCTCCCAGTTCTGCGTGCTCAATCGAAAGCACGCGTTGATGGTGATCAAGGACCGGAAGCTGTGGCGCAAGTTCAAGCTGCCGTGTCTGAACATCCAATCGTGCTACCCCGAAGAGCACTACTTCCCGACAATGCTGTCGATGCAGGATCCGAACGGATGCACCCGTTACACGTTGACGAGGGTGAATTGGACCGACAGCGTGAACGGGCACCCGCACACGTACCACCCGCCCGAAGTGTCGCCCGAGCTTATTTACAGGCTTAGGGAATCGAATTCGAGCTATTCGCATATGTTTGCGAGGAAATTCTCGCCCGATTGCTTGACCCCTTTAATGGAGATTGCAGATTCGGTCATTTTCAAGGACTGATCTTTGTTTGCATCTGGTAAGTAAAGAAGGTTGTTGCTTTGTCTGGTTGAGTTGACTCAACTCGGGGTTTTCTTGGATGGGTTAACTCAGTTGGGTTTCTTGGTGGTGGTAGATGAATGAGTGGTTGATATTTTGGTAATGTGATTGGTAATACTGTCGGTCTGGTAAATATTCTTTTTTGGGGTTTTTTTTTATTTGTCTGGTTTTTACAAAGTAATTCAATTTCTTGGCCTTTTATGGGTGGATGATTGTGTTAGTTAGGGTTTATTCAAGAATCCAATTGGGATTTTGTTTGGCTCAATTTTGTTATTTTTTTTACTCTTTTTTGGTGTGGTTAAAAATCCAATCTTTACTTCTCTTACTCTTTTTTGGTGTGGTTAAAAATCCAATCTTTACTTCTCTTACTCTTTTTTGGTGTGGTTAAAAAATCAATCTTTACTTCTCTTACTTAAAGATGCCCCTTCTTTAAAGCTTGTGAGTTGATTGTATATTTACAATTTTTACCAAGATTGGATTTTTAAGGTAACCCTAAGTTCAATTTGAAAAAATTCTTCTTGATAAAGTGTCACTGTTTCTTGTTGCAGAAGAGGGGAAAAAGCAAAAGGCAAAGTTTTTGAGGCTTATGAATGGTGATGAAGTTGGAGTTGTACCCCATATGGGATTAGGGTTTTTTTGAGTGGCTATCAAGAATAATAAAAAGCCCTCAACCTAAGTAACCCAAAAAGAGTACAACTCAATCAAGCAAAGGGGAAACAAAGAATTGGGGGTTTTTAACATGCAATGTAAGAATTAAGGCATACATCTATTTGTATGTATGTTGTTGTAGTGGCACAAGATTTAGGAGATTGGTTTTGAATGGTGATTTTGAGGGCTTTTTGGTTGTTTATAATTTTGTAAATATAAATATTTGTATGAGTGGATGGAAATGTTGATGTTTGAGGAGAGAATGAACAAATCTTGGCTTAATCATAAAAAAAGGATGCATAAA